TATTCTCCAGAAAAGATGAACTGAAATAAAGTATAGGTGAAATCCGTTGTGGTGGGGAAAATGCTAAATTGGACCACACGGTGTTGGTCATCAATGACAGAAGATGACAAATGTGATGTGATAGCAGTCATAACCATGGAAAGGAAGCTGAACTCAGATTAGCAATTGTGTAGAAACAGCCTACTTCAGACGACTAAAACTTCCTTGTCATTCTAGGGTTCCCTTTGTCTGAAAAAAAATTGTCACGAAAGACATCATTTTATCAGCGGTTCTTCAAACTCTGTGACCGAAAGATGCACTGATCTCAGGTGAAGATCGAAATGGTATACTGGAATCTTTCCTGAATGGAGCTGCAGTCAGGAAACTGTGACGGTTATGACACTATAGATTATCCATGTTTAGATAAAACGGAATGAAGAATGACAATACCAGGAAATGGTATGACCTATAATAAATAATTGACGTGTATTAAATATGTGAAATAATGTCTTGAACAGCAAGAAAGCATCATTGTTCGTACTGTTTTAAATGTTCATTTAAATATTGCAAAACATTGAATGCTAATTAAACTATTTCCTTCTACAAAGCGCGTTAATTAGAAATGATTGTATGTGCAATATTAAGACACTGACATTCATGCCGTTCGATGAATACTATGTTGTCAATGATGACAACTCTTAAACTGAGTGTAGTGGAACACATTCTACATGTATTCAAGCTGTTTACTTTTATGTAGAAGGTTTTGATAAGATTTATTCAGTTGTACCATTTCTTTGGAATCTGTGGTTTACATTGGTTTTCACAATACTTAAGGAAGATAGAGGTAAGTACATCAATTAAATGAATATATATTACGTATTGATATTATATTTATCTTGCAGTGAACATTATTTTTATGAATTAAATTTCGGCTAATATGGATATTATTGAGTAGTATATAATTTGAAATTATATCGCACAAATTATGCGATTTATTGTCACAAATTATATAAAAAAAATACCTCTTTTACGTATTAGAATAATCGTTATATACAATTCGTATTTATTCTTTTCGGTTTGTTTTAATATCGTTTTGTTTTTATATTTGTTGTGTTTGTTTGCTTTAGATTTTGTTGTTGTTTAATGTACCATAAATTCTTTCAATAGTTTGAATATGTCGTTTCAATTAATATATCGTACTGTACATTTTCTATAATACTAATGCGGCAAAAAGTACAATTGAATATTGAGCACTGTAGAAATGAGGCCTAATACTTTTTACATATATGAACTTGTACTAGCCCGAGGAAAACATCTGACAATGTAATTAAAACTGAAGAGAAGCCTGCTTGTGGAAGTACATTTGTCAATGGAAATGCAAATATAACCTACGTTTTAGCCAAATGTAGTCAACTATTATTACGTATTGTACAAACGAAACGTATCTTCTTCAGATAAATATAATTAACTTAATATAACAAAGATTTTCCTCATATTTAAATAAAACAAATATACAAAGATATTTTATTATAAATGTTTGCATAATACATTAAAAATCATGTGATAATAAGTAGATATAATGCATTGATAATGCCAGAGTCATAAAAGCCACACTGAAACAATTCAACATGAACTTGCTCTTTTTATTTCCTTCAGCAACCGGTAATATGAAGTAAGGCAATAAAGATCTTAAACATTCCTTCACCCAAGACAATTGCGAGTTTGCGTGGGAATCGTTGGCTAATGAGAGACAGCCCATTTCCTCCATTTCATGTACAAATGAATAATAACTGATAACTTAATGCTATAGCGGTAATTTTGTGGCAGACAAAATGTGTGTTGCTTTCTTCGGTACATTTTTAAAGAATGTCATGATAATACGATCTGGCTCTTGACGTACTGTTAGATGAATGATATAATGATAATAACTCAGACATTGGCAGGGAAACGCTTATAATATATCTCCATTACATTAAAATATAAAGTACTTTTGTTTACATTATTTGACTGCAATGCAGGTATTCCGAAAATAGGAGTTGCACATTAGGAATGGTGTGTGAACAAACCAACTCAAGATGATCAGAGTGAGACGTGCAATATATACAACTGAGTATGGATTATATTTATAATGCCTACATGACTTTATAAAAATATATACCCTTACTTCCTATGTTATTGGAGACAAAAATAGTGTGCCGTTGAAGAGCGTAGTCTTGGAGTGCTGACATTTTCATTTTTTTTCCTTGTAAATCAAACAGCGTAAAAGACGTTTTTCCGCTTTGAATTTAGCTTGGATACAACTCTAATTAACAGATGCTCCTAAGAAGTGCAGATGATTATACGTCGGTGAACGTGAGCATCTTGTGCTTTTGGGGTTTTCAGTTTGTGGTTATATTAGTGAATATTAAAATTACTGGACCACTAAGTCTACCTATTCAATGACCACTACGTTATTATAATCAAAGTAGGGCTTTATATTGTTTTGTCTTAAATAATTTCACTTAAATGAAGTACAACAAAACCGAACACGGTGCTTAATATTTACATCAGGAACATTGTATTAAGCTAAACTTTAGTGTATCGTTCCAAACCAATAAAAATATCAATAGGCCAGTCCGAGCGAATGCTCATAAAATGACTTTATAAGTAAAAAACTGTTTCAAATTTTATGGGTCAGTAAAATGAATGAAGTTTAAGGATTAGTAATGCAAGATTGATAAATTTAACAATGGTGTCATAAAATATATGATATTAATGTCATATAAATAGAATGAGTACAGGTTTAAAATTAGCATGCACTCAAACTTTGTATGAATGTTGAATGTTAATGACATTTAGCCTTATCTGAAGAAAATCGTTACTAACATTCGACAAGCTTGCTTTGTGAAAGCTGGATTCGATTTCATAAATTAAGTAATTTGTAAGGAGAACAAAACATGCTTGTATACTAAATACAGGTGAAATAGATACTATTGAATATTTAGCTGACATCTGACATATTTGCTTTAGGTAGACAATAATTGGAAGTACAATATATATGTTTAGCAAGCGAAAATATTTTAATTAGTCATAACAAGACTTTAATTACAGTATGACATTTGCATACAAATTCACTAGTGTACAATAACGAATACTGTTTTGAACAATGGAAAATATAAAGCTGATTAATAAAGATATATAACTCCGCTAAAGTAGAATTCTAAATAAATACACACAAAACGTGTCATAGTGTAGTGGTCATAAAATTCGTTACTTGCCATAGCAGACCTACTATTGTGCTATTTCGAACTCTTACCTAAATGGATAAATTTATATATAGAACAGGAAAAAATTAAAATACCTGATTTGATGACAATGTTCTCAACACATTCGTTTAATATGAAGATGTTGCACTTGATTTTTCTTAATAGGACAAAAGGGAGCGTCATGATCTTTTAATATGAAAGCATAGAAGGTAAGCTATTTATTAAGACTTCATGGTCTGAAAGTAAATAAAATAAAAGGGAGAGATCCAAAACGTTTTGTAAACTTCAAAAATTAATGTATTTCCCTAGAATAGAAAGTGAAAATTTGAAAAGAATTTGCAGTATTGTAAATTGCCTCTCTAGTAATCCTAACGTACATAACTCTAAACTAGTTTCAATGTCGATTGGAATATATTCCAATTTTGAAAACGGTGATGTACCAATAACGCGAATGAGAAGTCAAATGGGGATCTATGTAATCAATACGTCTTCATTGGTCAATGCCAGAAAAAAATGACATCGTCAAAAGAGTGGCCAATAAATGTGTCAGCTAAAGGAGTAATTTCTTAATGATTTGTAGAAGACTTAATTCTGGATAAAAATGATTTGCCATGGTTGCAAAATAATCTAATCAATAATTGCACTAATACAAATTCAAAAGTACCCAAACCATCCACATAATATTGAATGATTCATTAGGAAACCTAAAGTTTTGCGTACATTTAGGCTTACAACTGGGGAAAACGTACAAAGTTGAATTTATGATCCAACGCATTGTTTAAAATCGAACATCAAACCGAGTGCAGATTTCAGAAATAGAGTAACTTATGATTTCAATACATACTACTTCAAAATAATGAACAACGCTGTATTCAACATTCAAATACAAACATTTGAGGAAAAGAACGACAGATAAATATGAACAGATGAAAATAATTTGTATGTTTCAGCAGGACCTGTAATTTTCCCGGAGAACATGTATTAACAATAATGTAGAATACGTCAGTTCGACAAAACAAATCAATCAACTTAGCGAAACCAATTTCAAGGAGGTTATGCACATAAAGGCACATTAATAGAACATGTACGATTCGGTCTGCTGCGAGCTCTGAAATAAATGTTGTGATACAAGGAAACCTAAATATATACAAGAAAATCTTAGTCACAGATTAGTTATAAATAATTTTGATTATTACTTAATTTTGGAAGAATCAAAATTCCATTACAAACAATGTATTTCACATTTGGTCTAAGTTGTCAAATGACCTACTAGCTTTGTCGAACCAAATACATACTCTGAATGACGTTCCAAAAAAATCTCAAACCTTTTTAAGCCTAAATTGTATATGTGGTTTGAGTTACTGGTATGACGAGACCTCAATAAAAGAACAAAATAAATTTCAGTTGCTACACAAATTTTGACCAATGGCGCTTCGTTAATGCTATCTATTGAGATCCTTTTCATAAGATCTACCCGGTGTTGATGACATTATTTGGGTACCTGAAAGTTATTATCTAATATCATTGTGAGCGTGTGCGTACGTGCGTCCGTGTTTTTTATTTAACGTAGCTTTAAAACAATTTCAGTCCTATCGTTGCAATGTCTGAAGTGAGGCAGTTTATAGTGATGTCTAGCAATGGGGCATCTTGCCGCAGACATGTAGCATGTTAGGACCCAATCACATTTTCCTGACATCAAGTCGACCAGTCCTAACACTAAATTATTAATAATGAACTTCAAGCGAGGCAGCTGTTAGTACCATTTTTGTAAGTCTTTGGTATGACTTGACCGGGGATCGAACCCATCATCTCCCGCATCCGAGGCGGACGCTCTATCCACTAGGCCACCATAGCGGAGGATTTATAGATGAGATGTTGATTTGTGGAGATAGAGATGTGATCGGATAGATGAATGGATAGACAGTGTTGATTTGTCTCAGTTGTAAAATTGGACTTTTTGTATTGTTGTCCATGTTTGATGTTATATAACGATATGAACGAAGAAGAATCGCAGTACAGTTCTGGATGGAATATAGTCACCAAAAAGATAAATTTTTAATTGTAACTTAAGGAAAATAACAGTTAATTTCAACCCGTTCCATAGTGACATTTAACTGACTTTGTTCCGTTTTGGAATAGTATTTTTGTTAGTATTTGTATATTACTGTCCTAATTTGAGACATAGTGTCGTGCACACTATTGATATGGTACTTCTGCCAACGAAAGCTATGTCCAAAGTTGAATGCGTATCTCCGTTTAAGTGTTATACATGTTCAGCACAGACTTCAAACGTTACGTCTAGACAGCAATCAGTCTAATTACATCCTGCCTGGGTGTACTCGACTTCTTGACTTGATATGTGTGCATCCACGTTAACTTACATTTTATGCTCCTTTCTCTAAACTCTGATATCTTTACGATAATAAGCAAGACGGAGAGACATTTCCATTGGATTAAACGTATAGTTTGTCCATATATCAAGTGATTGTTTAGGCTGACTAGGTTTAGCATAGTTCGCGCCTTAATAAACATTTGTTTTTATATTCAACCGTTGAAAATTGCAAGGCAAGTAATATTCTTAAATTCCAAATCTGATTACAAAGATATTTTCTTTCATTTTTTGAGTTAACATGTTTACAAGACACCAGTAAGGACAGATGAACATCTTTGTCATTTTGTCATAATTGTATGATCTTGAGTCAGATATCATGAATATCAGAACACTGAACAAAATTGTCTCAGACCATGCAAGTTAGACCTAAATGATATGTTCTATTAAATCTATTATTATTATTATTATTATTATTATTATTATTATTATTATTATTATTATTATTATTATTATTATTATTATTAAGTGTGGGAAGAAATGAAAACTAAAAGCAAGCAACAACAACAATGAACAGACAGATTTCCGGACTTTTTCTCCCCCTCCCTGTATTCGTCAGATATATCTACAAAACGTTTTTGAAAAAAAAAATATTTATACGTGATAGAGTTATTATGATCGCATGGCAGTATAGCCAAAATACATTAAATTCAATGTCAGATGATGATGTCAAACGTGTTTATTGGAATGTAATTAAGCACAAACTAAATATGCAACTAAATACAAATTCTGGTCAAAATTTAGTTGCATATTACAAGGACACTTCGCTCATAGGTTTAATAGATTACAAAAAAACTGCAGGCAATAGCATTGGACCTAATTCTAAGTTAAAAACATTCCTCCGATTTTCTAACTCCATCGGAATTAATATTAAAAAGCTAGTGGGTCTGGTGTCACGATAATGTGACTGGGTGCGACATCATGCTACATATCTGCGGCATGATTCCCCAGTGCTAGACATCACTATAAACTATCACATTGCAGATAGAATAGCGTTATGACTAAAACAATTTTAAAGCTACGTTAAAAATACAAATTACATACATACATACATACATACATACATACATACATACATACATACATACATACATACATACATACATACATACATACATACATACATACATACATACATACATACATACATACATACATACATACATACATACATACATACATACATACATACATACATACATACATACATACATACATACATACATACATACATACATACATACATACATACATACATACATACATACATACATTGTTTTGTTGGCTTCCGTTAGTCTCGAGAGACGATTGATATGCGCCCATGAAAGGTGTCCCAGTTTGTAGTTGTACAGCGTCTTCTGTGGCTATAAAGCCCCTCACCGGAGTGGCAATCCTTGCTACAGTTGCTGCACTTGAAGTTTGAGTCAGGTCTTGGTTGGAACTGCATCCTCTTCCACTGAGATCTTTTCTCATCGGCGAGCTGTCGTAACTTTTCCTTGCTGGCTTTCAGACCTGTGAACATAGCATGTCGCCAGCTAAACTTGTTGAGGGCAAGCTTTTCCCAGATGTTGACCTCGATCCCAAGAGCTTTCATATCCTGCTTGCAGACATCCTTGAAGCGAAGATGTGGCCGTCCGATTGATCTTCTGTCTGAGGCAAGCTTAGAGTAGAGAAGGTCTTTGGGAATCCGTTCATCATCCATTTGACGCACATGGCCCAGCCATCTGATGCGACGTTGGCAGAGGAGTGTGACCATGCTGAGAATTTTGGCCTGTTGAAGCACCTCGTTGTTTGTCACGCGATCGCTCCAGGTTATCCCGAGTATGCGACGGAGACAACGCATGTGAAAGGCACTCAGTCGCTTCTCCTGAGAGGCTTACAGGGTCCAAGTTTCGCTGGCGTACAGGAGAGTGCTAAGCACGCAGGCACGGTACACGGAGATCTTAGTGTTCAATGTCAGCTTGCTGTTGTTCCACACTCTGCGACAATCTAGAGAGAGTTGTTGACGCCTTTTCAATCCGCTTGTTGAGCTCGGCATTGAGTGAGAGGTTGTTGATGATGGTAGAGCCAAGGTAAGTGAAGTCACTGACTACTTCTAGTTTGTAGTTGTTGATGATTATGCTGGTAGGATCTGCGTCCTGAGCCATCACGTTGGTTTTCCTTAGGCTGATCGTCAACCCGAATTCATCACATGCTTTAGCAAAGCGGTCCATCAGGCGTTGTAGTTCAGCTTCTGTGTGAGTGACTATAGCAGCAGCATCTGCAAAGAGCATGTCCCTAATGGTTGCTTTCCTTACTTTGCTCATTTCCTTCAATCGTGCCATGTTGAACAGTCTGCCGTCTGAACGCGTGTGCAGGTAGATCCCTTCTGTTGACGTCCCAAAGGCGTACTTAAGCAGGACAGCAAAGAAATGCCAAAGAGCGTGGGGGTCAAGGACACAGCCTTGTTTCACTCCGCAGTGGATGTTGAATGGTTCCAAGGGTTGTTATCGCCTGGGGCGGATGTGGGAGATAAGTACCCACTTCCCCTAGAAATCCCCCAATGACTTGCGTCTGTGATAGCCTCTGACAACCTAATCCAGCTCCAGGCCTTCACGGGTGGCTTAACTACTATACATACATACATACATACATACATACATACATACATACATACATACATACATACATACATACATACATACATACATACATACATACATACATACATACATACATACATACATACATACATACATACATACATACATACATACATACATACATACACACACATGCATACATACATTAAATTCAACGTCAGATGACGATAGTCAAAATGTAGATACATACATACTATACATTGTTTTAATCAAAACTCTATATCAAAGCCACCATCCATAAAACAAAAGTAATGATGGCAAGAGTTTTGAGGCGGTAGCTATGGAACCATGCTGCGGTCAGATTAGAATCGTTTTTACTTAGAACCAGTGAATAATTTTATTGTGATTTGTGACAACTCCATGAGGAAACATAAAAACGAAGTGGCGAGTAGAAAACACGAAGATTAAGATTCTCGTCGAGGCATCCATTTAAAAAAATATATTTTAGTTTCGCAATACATTTAGGAGCAGCGACTACAACAAAATGTGTGACACTTTGGCATCAAATTCGCATATAGTGTGTTGCAGTGTAAGGATCATGTCAACAACACCATACTTTCAAGAGGAGTAGTGATAAAAATAATTCACAGTTGCCGCCATGATGTAAATAACTGCGTAGTAACATTCGCATTTCGGATCAACGAGACATCATCCCTTTTTGCATATGACACGTTCGAGTCTTATCAGCATCACTTTATTTGTTAAGGTTATTTAATATATGTGTCATCTATTTAATTTATAATATAGTTTTATTACAAATTATTTAGATTTATGACATCTATATATCTTTAATTAAGTGACTGGTTATGATTATAGTAAAGTACATATAGATTTCTCATATGCAAAATAAGAGGTTATTTCCTAGTTCGAGTATAAAACTATTTTGGTCATGTACGGAGCCAATGAATTCCGATGGAGGTCACATAAACAGCATATCAAGGTAGTGTATTTGCTCTTTAAAGCTATTAAGCATGCTTTCATTGTGTATTGGTTCAATAGTTTGAGAAGATCAGAATGTGACTGAGTTATTTTGAATAATATGCTTTAATTGTTCGGGAACCTATCAGTGAATCGGATTATGTTCATTTGATGCATATATGGAGATTATATAATGAGAATACAGCCACCACGTATTCTATTTTTCAGTCTATACCAGTGTAACCAGAATTATTAATAAAATATAGTGATTTATTTTTAAAGTTTGTTCGATGAATTGAGCAGAGTAGAAAATATTTCATTTAAATGGCCAGTATTTAATTTATTTTACAAATTTATTCAAGGACTTGACTATTTAAATAACTGATTCTTCAGTGGAGTGAACATGGTACGAATAAAACCACATTTGGATCTTGATTCTGAATATCCATGGCAATTCTCTGGACTAATGAGAAATTGATACTAAAATTTGATAGTCTATGAATTTATACACAGTTAGTTAATTTTAAATTTATTTCAGTTTTATATTTTATTTTGTATTTAAATAAGTTTATACCTTGGAACATTGAATGTTTGTTGTGTTTACATGGTCTTATTAGTTAACTTTAAGACCCTAGATATAACACATTATGAACAAGTATCTAATGAAGTAGTCAATAAAGTCCCATATCGCTACCACTATCCCTGCAGGACAAGTAATGATGGCAAGAGACTTAAGCTGGCCGCATTTAGAACCAACTAGATATTGTAAAAGGTCTTTTATTGAAAACCCGATTTCGATTCTACCATCCTTTCAGAAAGAATGATATTCACATTATGATAAGACGACAGCGATTATGGTCTGCGTTTGGTTGTTGTTGTTGTTGTTGTTGTTGTTGTTGTTGGGC